GAAAGCACCAATGTCTAGCCTTTGCAGACGATGTAGTAATACTGGCTCGAAGCAAATGGGAGCTACAAGAAGTAGTAAAGAGGCTAGATAGAGAGGCAAAGAAAATAGGCTTAACCATCAACGAAAGTAAGACAAAATACATGGAATGGATAGATGACAGTGAACAAAAAGGAGGAAATCTAAAAATAGAAGTAGAGGGTGAAAAAGCATATATATTTGAAGCAGTGGAAAGATTTACATACCTGGGGTCGATGTTCACATGCAAACCAAATATTAGAGAGGAGCTCTAATATTTGGTTTGCATGTGAACAGTTATACAGTTATACAACCAGTGGTAACCTACGCCAGTGAAGTGTGGACACTGAACAAAGGCGAAACAGGTATGCTCGAAATATGGGAAAGAAAGGTTTTGAGAAAGATATTCGGAGGCAAGATAGTAGACAATACATGGAAAAGAAGAACAAATAAAGAATTAGAAGATATGTACAAGAATCCTAGTATAGTGGGAGTAGTAAAGGCTCAGAGACTCAGGTGGCTAGGGCACATAGAAAGAATGACAAATTCTCGAGTACCAAAAATGATTCTGATGCATACAATGGGTACAAAAAAAAGAAGAGGAAGGCCGAGAAGTAGATGGAAGCAAGAAGTAGAGAAAGACCTAGAAACACTGGGAATAGAAAGATGGAAGGACAAGGCTAATAATAGGAAGAAATGGAAAACAATAACAGCTCAAGCCATGGGCCTACTAGGCTCGTAGTGCTATTATATATATATATATATATATATATATATATATATATATATATATATATATATATATATATATATATATATATGTGATTTATATTGCGGGTATAGGTGTCTGAAAAATACCGTTTTCTTCTGATTACATGTTTATTCAAAATTGAACAAATTTACCGTCGCAAATCCATCATAGGTACTCATATAATAACATATCTAAAAAAATTGAATTTTCAGATGAAAAAAAAAGCGACATAAAAAACAGAATTTAAGGCAAAAGCCGTAAATTTTATACATATTCCAATGCTTCTCGTCAAGCAGCCCTGCAGGCTATTCGGGAAACTGGAATAAGTGTGAGGCAAGCGAGCAGGCGTTATAGTAGGTAAAATATTAGTATGTGCGACCCATCATAATACAAATTTTATTTGTTAATAGGTATCCCCAGAGCAACCCTTCATGATAAATGTACTGGAAAATCGTCAGCTGAAAAGAAAAAGACCAGACCGCCACCATTGCGGACTGTGAAAGGTGAGAAGAAAATTGCAGACTGGGTGATAAATAGTGCCAAACGTGGCTTCCCATTCTCAAAAACAGATCTAATGGAAGCTGTAGCAAAAATTGCATCTGATACCGACAATTTAAACTCCTTTCCGAATGGTAAACCTGGAGATAGGTATAAGGGGTTTCTGAAAAGACATCCCGAAATTTCTCAAAGAGAGGCAGAGGGAATCAACAGAGCGAGGGCTTTAATAACAGAAGAATCAATTCGATCGTGGTTTACCACTTTACAAAAATATCTTGAAGACAATGGTTTTCAAGATGTGTTAGAAGACTCCACTAGAATATTCAACGCGGACGAATCAGGATTTTCTTTGTGCCCTAAGACTGGGAAAGTCCTGGGACCGAAAGGTTGGAAAAATTTATATGTAATTAAGTCCGGCAAAGAAAAAGAAAATACCACTGTACTCATAACATTCAATGCATCAGGAGCAGTATGTCCTCCTCTGGTCATTTTTCCATACGTTAGACCACCCAAAGCTCTTGTGCAGAATGTCCCCAAAAAAGGGGTTAACGGAAAATCTGACTCGGGTTGGATGACTGGAGAAGTTTTCTTTGAGTATATCTCAAATGATTTTAACTCATGGCTCACAACAAACCAAATACAGCGACCGGTTTTGTTGTTAATAGATGGACATAAGTCACATATGACTACGACATTAAGTCAGTTTTGTGACGAAAATAATATTATTCTGTACGCTTTACCCCCTAGCACAACCCATATTTTACAGCCGGCTGACGTGAGCGTGTTCAAACCCATGAAACAAGAATGGAAAAATACAGTCAAAAATTGGCAGAAACGCCCTGAAAATTCTAATCAAATAACCCTCTAAGGACGAGTGTGACGTTTTCGTAACGTTCCAATCAAAAGCGATTTGTAGGCAAACTATTAACCAAATCTAATCGATGCCGAAAGTTACGAATTCATAATATTACGCTTCATACTGAAACAGTCACTGCGACACACTCCGGCCAATTTTTCAACCGCATACTTCTCTAAACAGATTAGGATACAAGTTAACTGATGCAAACAGAAAAGTGTAATTTTGATTTCGACAAAATCAGTGAATGTTTACCGGGAAGGAATCTGTAAAATAGTTATTAGCAGGAAAGTTCTGTGTAGTATATGGATAGTTCATGCTTATCACTATAAACAGTCGTAAATTGAAGATTGAACACGTGTTGTAAACGTTACGATTTCGTTAAGTTCGGCGTTATAGAGTCGATTAACTAAAATAGTTCAAAATGGATCCAGCTATGTTTTAAAAACGAAAACGGCATCAAGCCATTGACATACCAATTGATAGTGATGTAAGTATTTCTGATTCTGAAAATGAAAGTGATGAATGGGTAATAGAAGAGGACTTTGGTTCTGAAATTGAGAAAGGACTTAGTGATGGTGGTGAAGAAATAATAAACGAACAATGTACGCGCAATAAGAATGAATATACTGATATAACAGAAAAAGACAATACTGACATTGTTACTCCAATGTGGAACTACAGTTTACCAAAAGCTACTTCTATAAAAGACCCCATAGACCATTTTAGAATATTTTTCAACGATAACTTTCTCAATTTGATTACTTACCAATCGAATTTATTTGCTGTCCAAACAAACCCCAATAAACCTCTGGAGCTGACAATAAAAGAGTTAGAACAATTTATGGGTACAATATTTTATATGTCTTTGATCAAACTACCAAAAACTCGATTATATTGGTGTTCTCAATTTGATATTACTACAGTTCGTGAAATAATGAGTCGAGACAGATGGGAAACGATAAAAAAACATACATTTCTCCGATAATACCAAAATTGATCCATCAAACTTAGATGAACTGTACAAGATTAGACCCTTAGTAGAACATTTGGGAGAGAAATTTCGAAATATTCCAAAGGAGCAGATGGTCGTGGTCGATGAGCAAATGGTTCCTTTCAAGGGTCATTCCGGGCTAAAACAGTGCATGCCAAAAAAGCCTCACAAATGGGGCTACAAAATTTATGTGTTGGCTGGCTCCAGTGGTGTTGCGTACGATTTTGAAATATATACTGGAAAAATTTCCGCTACTCCAGGATACAATGATATTGGTTCCAGTGGCAATATTGTTGTAACACTTCTGCAGAAGCATTCAATAAGACAATCACCTTCTTTATATCGATAATTGGTTTTCATCGATACCTCTTTTGAATGAGCTATTTCAAAAGAAAATATATTGTCTAGGAACAGTCCGCTCAAACCGTCTTCCTAGGTGTCCTTTATTGTCCGACAAAATCCTGAAAACAAGAGGACACGGATCGTTTCAGGAAATAGAGTTGAAAACTGATACTGTACCTTGCAGAATTATCAAATGGCACGACTCTCGTGTAGTATTGCTTATTTCCAACTTTTCCTCTGCCAAACCTCTTGATACAATTAGAAGATGGGATAAAACAAGAAAAGATACTGTAGATGTTCAGTGCCCCACAGCAATTAGAACTTACAATGTAAGTATGTAAGTAGATCTTATGAATTCACTAATAGGTCTATACAGAATCACAATTAGATCGAAGAAATAATATTACCAATGGTTTTTATTCTAGCAGTTCTCCGTGTGTAGAGGTTCTCTCACCGGCTCTGGAACTCGTTTCAGCCATGTGTTACCTGTAGCCAAATTTAATTTAATACTGAACATCACAGATATTTTACAACACGATGTATAATCTTTTATAACTAAATGTAATTTAAAGGGTTTTTACCCTGGTATTTTGGTGGCTCAGGCATTGTGACCTAGCATTTTTACGATTTTAAAACCTGATGATGGATTGTGTGGTCCGAAAACGTTTGTTTTTTTTTAAATAGCCCTTTTAAGGGTTTTTTTTAATAAATATACCCATTTATGAATACTAACCTCTTTTTTGTGATACGTGGTATACAGCCAGCTACAGGAATTGTTTTCCTTGTGGATTTTGTTTTTATTCCATTTTAGGGATATGGCAGTTGTAAATTGTTGGCTTTTATATAGACGTGACTGCAATGATTTTGTCGTTCCAAAGAAAAACGAACTGTCTCTGTTTGAGTTTAAGAGTCGCATAGCCGAAAGCCTAATGAAGCAAGGGAAGACACTGACAGTTACCAAAAAATTAGGACATCCCAGCAGTAGCTCTATTAATGATCTTCATGCAGCAAAAAAACACAAAAGTGCAGCTACGAAAATGATTCCTCAAAAGGATATTCGGCAGGATGAAATAGGACATTGGCCCGTTGTGAAAGATAAAAGAGGACGATGTCGAAAACCTGGTTGTAAAGCAGTCCCTGTGCATTATTGTGAGAAGTGCAACGTGTACTTATGTATTAATAAAAATTCGAATTGTTTTTACGATTTTCATCACAATTAAAATTTGTCATGCTATTCAAAAATTATGGTTTTGCACCAATAAATATCTTCATTAAAATTATTGTTTTTTATTATTATTAACTATTGTCTATTACTTCTAGATGCCTAATGTGACGTTTTCGTAACGTTTAAAATTTTCAGTTTTTTTTTGCAAAAATAATGATAAAAATTTAATATTGATATGTCGTACACATAATTATTGATTTTAATTTAATTAAAACATTTTTTCGGAAGAATTTTTAAAATTTTGGAAATTTCGTCCTTAGAGGGATAATAACAAAGATTAATTTCTGCCAAGCATTTGAAGAGACTAAAAAACACGCAAATGCAAAGTCATATTGTAAAAGGATTCAGTAAATGCGGATTATATCCGTTTAACCCTGACAGTGTGGACTACACACTCTCAGGTGTGTAAAAAAATTCCAGAAAAAGAATATCAACAAACTGTTTCTACAGGTGTCTCAGAAAAGACATTAACGGTAAATGATTTCGAAGCTGCCAGGAGAGTAATTGAGTCAATTTCAAATAATTTGATAAAATATGGTGTCAATGTAGACGTTGTAATCATCGAAATTAAGTTCCAAAAATCACTATTGAAAAAAGATTCCAATACAATAATTCAACCGTACACTGCTCCAACTACTTCAGCAGATCAGGCTGTAAATATTTCTGTGGGAAGTATTGTTCCTATGGACCATGTAACTTTGCTACCTGTTGATATAATAGAATTTGAGGAAGGTGAGCTTTTGAACTTTGAAAACAATTCATGGATAAGTAATGAAAGCTCACAAACAGAACTATTTACTGAACAGGGAAACTTACGCAAAGAAAACGACATTGACATGGAGAATGAAAAAGTAACCGTGCTAAATAAAAAGCGTAAAATTGAATCAGAAAAACAAGATTACATTGGATCAATCGAGCAGACGACTTTTGTGAAAACGAAATTGTAACTTTGTCCGAAAATGAAAATCGAAGTGAAAGCGAAAATTCAGGAGAAATTGAGATATTTTACAATGACAAAGAAAAATGTGATTAAAACGATTCAGGTGATGCAAAAGACAACAAAGGGCAAACTAAAAAGGAAATAGACAGATACAAAGAAAATGAAGGAGTAAACAAAGAAGAAAATGACAACGAACATAAGAAAATAAACCAACAAGAAAGTTGGACTGAAACTGGAAAAGAAAGATACACAAAAAAAAAGGAAGAAATTCTAGGTCTGGTCAAGCAGACTGACATGAACACAGCTGTGATATTACATGGTAAGTTACATGATATTACAAATCTTGACAGTAGGGATAAAAATGCTCAAAATAAAGAAACAAACAAAGATTTAATGGGTAAGACTAAAGAAGTAACTGAGGACAATGAAAAAGATGAGGCTCTCACTCCTGATCCTTTCCAAAAACATCTGATATTCCCAGAAGTATCTTTTAAAAGAAAGAAGGTAGTTGCGTAAAGGAAAAATTACCTAATGCAATCTCGTCAGCAGCATGGAGAGCTTATTACAGTCGCAAAGATGATGCGAAGAAAGAAAAACTTGAAAAGGCTAATCTGAGAAAAAAAAAACCCGGGAGGCAAAAAGATAAAGTTTTATGCACTCTATGTGAAGAAGAGCTTATTAGTGATGTGGAAGATGATGGAAACAAAAACATAGGTTGTGATGAATGCCCCCAGTGGTATCACCTTAAATGTACTGATATGTCTAAGGTGACCATATGTACTTATTTAAGTAGGACAGTACTTTTTTTTAAATATTGACCTAATGTACTTTAAACCCTTTCTAAGGACACGCGAATGTACTTATTTTTTCTAAAAGAAAGAATATTTTTATTTTTTACTATTTTTAAACAATTATCTTAGACTCTCTCCTCAGTTAATTCTCTTTGACACTTTTACTTAAATTTTGGCCCAACGTGCAACGTTGCATCTGAACAAGCATTCAGATAATGACTTTCGGCTTCGACCGTCGCCGAATAGCGAATAGTTATCGTTTGGTCCATTTGGTCGTTCATCGTCATCGTGTTTAACCGTTGAGCGTTGAAGTGTTACGTATTGTATTACTGTACTGTTATTAGTGTTTGTTTGTAAAACGTTTTAGAATTTAGAATTATGTCTCCGCCTCGACGAAAATGTCATTTTAATGCAGAACTACAACAGATTCCGTCACTGGTATACGAACGAGAAAGACGTGGTTTAAAACGGCTCCGATATTTAATTCGAAAATTCGGGTAATATCGAGTTTATTTATCCACAAAGTGTTTTTCTTGCGAAATAGTGTATGTGTGAATCGAGTGTCATTAGAAAATTGTGAACTAAATCGAGTTTTTTAAAAATCATAACGAGTAACCCAAATAAACAACGAGTGCTACAAGCTCCGATCGGTTGAAGAGGAGAGTAGCGCGGTGTGGGAAACCTTCACGATAAGGACAATAATTAGTGATTATTTACAAAACAATACATAGGCGTGTAAGTGAGAATTATAACGTCAAAACACTGTCCAGAATAAGGTAAGAGATTTATAATATTTTTAACAATATGGCCGCGAGAAGAGGATTAAACCAATGGGATAGTGAAGAATCTGACGATGGTAAGAGAAAGAGAGAGGAAAATAAAGAAAACGACCAAGATGAAAACCCTTTCATGAAAAGCAGAAAGTTAACTAGGTCTCCACCTAAGAAAGATTGCGATAATACCGAATTGAAAGAAATGATGATTGCTCTTATGAACGAAGTTAAAGGAGTACGAAAAGACCAGCAGATTTTTCAAGAAGAAATTAGCAATTTAAAAAAAGAAAATCGCGAGTTGAACGGAAAGGTAAATTTCCTGGAAAGCAGGATCGAAAAAATGGATAAACAAATCCGGAAACAAAACATTGTGATCAAAGGACGCGATTTCAGAGAAAATGAGGAACTGGAAGATGCCACCAACTTTATAGTAAGTCAACTGAATGTGAATGTGAAAATAAAAGATGTGCAGAAAATAAGAACCTCTCAAGGGAAACCACCAGTGGCGATAGTAAAAGTAGATACAATGAAGGATAAAGAACTTATTATGAAGAATAAGAGCAAATTAAGAGGAACGCGGTATTTCATTGAAAACGATCTAACCCAAGCCGAAGCCAAACTACAGAAAGAGTTAAGAGATATGGCGAGAGAAGAAAAAGGAAAAGGTAATGAAACAAAAGTCGGCTATCAGAAAATATGTATAAACGATGAATGGTGGAAATGGAACCATAGTACCGAAAAACTAGAGAAAATGAAAAAAAAACTGAGTCTACACAGGCACAGTGGTCAGGAAAATATGGAAACGAATAAAGCGCGGAATAGGATGATGATAGGACAATGGAATGTTAGAGGAACTTTTGAAGTAGGGGCACTAAAGAACTTATCAGATACGTTAGAGAAATATGAGATAGATATTGCAGCTATACAAGAAACTAAACAAAAAGGAAATTTCACCATGGATGTGGGGAACTACGTGTTTTTCAACAGTGGAGACAATGAACGTGTATTTGGGGTGGGATTTTCTATAACGAAAACATTTGCCAATCTGATGATAGATTTTGAGGCAGTCACAAGCAGATTATGTAAAATAAGAATAAGAGGAAAATATAGAAAAATAACCTTTATAAATGTGCATGCACCAACAGAAAATACAGATGAAGACGTTTAAAGAAGATGGCTTTTATGACCAATTAGAACATATGTTTTACAAAATACCATCATAAGACATAAAAATAGTTGTAGGAGATTTGAATGCCAAGATTGGCAGGGAGGATGTATACAAACAAATAACAGGGGGAAAAAGTAAACATAGAGATAGTAATCTGAATGGAAAAAGAGTAATAGAATTTGCTTTCGAACACAATATGCGAATTATGAGCACTTATTTTGATCACAAAGAAATTCATAAAGGTACCTGGATATCACCAGATGGACAAACAGTAAACCAAATAGATCATTTCCTAATAGAAGCCAAACATATGAGAGCCATAAAAGATAGCCGAAGTTACAGAGGTGCTGATGCAAATTCGGACCACTTTTTGGTCAAAATTAAAATGGAGCAAATAATACCCACAATTAATAACGCTAGTTGTAAAAAATAAAAATATATAACGGTGCACTACTTCAGGAGGGAGAAGTTAGGAAAAAATTCAGGCAGCAAATTGAAGAGAAACTGAAAAGCCAGACAACAGTAAATGATATAGAAAGCAGATGGGTACAACTAGAAGAAAAAATTCAAGAAGCAGCCGACTCAGTATTATCAAGAAACAGACAATGTAAACAAACGGATTGGTATGATGAGGATTGTAAGAAAGCCATTAGTGACAGAAATAAAGCTAGAATAAATAGCATAATAAGAAATAATGAAGAGAGTAAAAAGCTTATGCCGAAAAAAGACGGGAAGCAAAGAAGATCTGTAGAAGGAAGAAGCGTTCAAGTTTAGAGCAGAAACTAGTTCGTATTGAAGAAGATTTTTTACATAAACAAGTCAGGAATTTCTACCAAGAAATAAAACGAGACCGAACCCAGTACAAAACCACATCAAGATATTATAAAGATGAAGAGGGGAATCTGTTAGGTGGAACAGATGAAAAATTAAGAAGGTGGGCCAGTTATTTTGAGAACATATTATTATGTACGGACGACCAAGATGAAAGAGAACAAACGCAACTACAACATGAAGAAGTAAGGGACACAGATGTAAATGAAGAAGTACCTACCAAGGAAGAAATTATAGAGATCATAAAAAACTTAAAAAACAACAAAGCACCTGGTGAAAATGGTATCATTGCTGAGTTTTTAAAAAAAGGTGGCGAAATGGTACAAGAAGAAATCGCTGAGTTAATACGCGAAGTGTTGATCAAAGAAAAAATACCCAATCAGTGGAAAGAAGCAGTCTTATGTCCAGTGCATAAAAAAGGAGACGTTACAGAATGTAAAAATTACAGGGGAATAGCTCTACAAGATACAGTGTATATGAATTTGGCCATATCAATTAGAAATAAAATTAAAACAAAAGTTGAAAATTGTCTAGGTGAATATCAAGCAGGTTTCAGAGCCAACAGATCGGTAACTGACCAAATTTTTACAATGAAACAAATTTTAGCTAGCTCATATGAATTCAACCTAACAGTACACATGCTGTTTATTGATTTTAGAATGGCATATGATACTATAAAAAGAAATAAAGTATATGAAGCACTAGAATATTTTGAATTTCCACCAAAAATAGTAAGACTGACTAAATGCATACTCAATGATACTAAAAGTAAAGTCATGTTAGAAGGACGGGTTTCGGATAGTTTTATCACCAATAGAGGTCTGCGACAAGGTGATCCGTTATCAACAGATTTTTTCAATTTGATCTTAGAGAAGATTTTACGAGAATGTAACATCTACACTAGAGGCACAATATATCATCACAGGCATCAATGTGTAGCATATGCAGATGATGTTACCTTAATAACAAGGAGACCTGCAGAATTAAGAGAAATCTTTATTAGAATAGAGAGAATAGCCAGAGAATATGGTTTAGAAATAAACGAAGAAAAAACAAAATATATGGTGATGAGGGAAAACGAAAATCATCTAGGAGAGTCCTTTAAGGTACAAAGCCCAAGTAAAGAATATAACTTTGAAGTTGTTAGCCAATTCGACTACTTGGGAGTGACACTAACAAATAGGAACGAAGAGAACCAAGAAATCATAAAAAGAATGGCCAAAGATAGTAAGAGTGCTGGGAGCCTGACTAAGATACTGAGGTCGAAGATAATATCCAGAACAGCAAAAAAACGAATATATACAACAGTTATCCGACCTACAGTACTCTATGCGAGACCTGGACACTAAATAAAGATATGGAAGTAAAATTAGATAGATGGGAACGAAAAATTCTTAGAAGGATATACGGAGATGTAAAAGAGGGGAACATCTGGCGAAGAAGAACGAATGAAGAAATAATGCAAATATATGGGCAACCAAAAATAACAAGACTCGCGAAAATTCAAAGATTAAGATGGCTCGGGCATATAGCAAAAATGAAGGAAGGAAGAGTTCCCAATGAATTAATAAACACGGAGGCTGGTACAAAAAGAAAAAGAGGCCGCCCTCGAAGAAAATGGCTGGAGTCGGCAAAAGAAGATCTGAAGTCGCTGCGGGTACAAGATTGGAAAAACTTAGCACAAGATAGAAAGAAATGGAAGAAAACAGTTGAAGCCTTGGGCCTTTGAGGCCTGTTGAGCTGAACTATATATATATATATATATATATATATATATATAATATATATATATATATATATATATATATATATACAAAAGATTACCCTTTTATGAAAGTCAAATCTGTGTCATCGCAGCATATTATTTATTGTGAAATATGTAAAAGTGACGTTGATATTTCCAACAGTGGACGAAGTAATATTAAAGCTCATTTGGGAAAGAAGAAACACACATTGGTAGCTAATGCAGTGACTAGAAGCAATAAATTACATTCATTTTTTAAATCCGCAAGTGTGAGCTCCGAGAACTTCATAATTGCAGCCAAAGAAGGGACATTTGCATACCACACCATTAGGCATATGCACAGTTTTAGATCATTAGATTGTACTTCCAAATTGATTTCCAATTTATTTGAGTCTAAATTTTGTTCTGCTAGAACTAAAAGTGAAGCCATCGTGAAAAATATTTTGGCCAGAGAATCGCAGTTACGGCTGGAAGTAGAAAGTGCAGAAAGTTAATTTTCTTAGCATCATTATTGATTCTTCAAATCACAAGGATACAAAACTAGTACCTTTACTAGTAAGATACTTTGACAGCAAAACCGGCATTCAAACAAAATTATTACAGTTAGTGGATTTACCAGGTGAGACATCCGATCAATTACATGATTATGTATTAAATATTTTACAAAAATATCATATTAATAAGATTGTTGGACTAACAGCAGATAACACAAACACTAATTTTGGTGGAATGAAATGACAGGGAACTAATAATTTATTCACTAAGTTGAATAATTCTTGCGGGAGACCTTTAATCAGTATTGGATGTGTTTCTCACATATTCAACAATTGTATTCAACGTGCTACTGATGTTTTACCAATTGATATCGAAGTAATAACAGTAAAAATTTATAAGCATTTCTATATTTACACTGTTAAGCCGCGTTTTCACGATGGCAATTGGCGAGACAATTGTCAGAAGACAACTGACTGGCATGAAATTATTGTCTTCGTGTAAACACTTAAGGCCAATTGCGTTGTCAACTGCCCTCACAAGTGGCCCAAAATTCAGTTGTCTCCGGGAGTAGACTGAGGACAATAAGCTGCGCCCAGTTAGATCCAATGTTGACATATACTCAATTATTTCACACTCTCATATATAAAATTATGGGCAAGATTTATATATATATGAAATAAAAATTTAAAATTGAAAAACACATATAATTAAACAAAAACGTGAAAAATACATATATAATTAAAAGCCTTAAAATTATACCTATAAATATTATACAATAACATTATATCTTACATTTAAAATACTTATATAATAAAAACCATTCAAAGTATGCTTAAGGTAAAATTTAATAGTTTAGAAACTTTAAAAACTACAGAATAAAGTTAAATGAAAATAAAAAAAATTAGGTTAAACATAAGAATAACCTAAATACTTAGCTATATTTAAAGTAAAAAATACTATTTTATGAATGCTTTTTAAATGAATTCAAAAATTGTGGCTTCTCATAACAAAACATTATATAAAAATTAATGGGAAAATCCCAGTAGCTGGCTGTATACCATCGTTTAAAAAACTTATACAGAAGTAAAACACTTCACATTTACCTAAGTATATACCTAAATACAAGTGTGAAGCATTTTACTTCTGTATAAGTTTTTTACGTGTAATAAGGTTGGTTGTGAATTATATAAAAGTGTATTGTGATTTGAATCGTAATAAAATGGGAGAAAATTACGAAAAGGGTCAAGAGAGACTTTTGAAATTGTGGAATGAGTTATTATCAGACGAAGAACAAGAGACTTTAGACTTTAGAGATAATTCTTCAGATGATTACTTGCCCAGTAATTCTTCATCAGATATTGACTCTGATGAAAGTGCATTGAATTTAGAAGCAAGGAAGAAAAAATTAAAAAGGTAATTATTATGTGAAACTTATCACCAAAAAACATGATTAACTTATTTTCCTTTTTGTTGTGTTGTTTACGGCTTAAAAAAATATTTGTACGTAGTTCAGTTCTAGTTAACCATTTTTAAATCTAAATAAAACGTTTCAATGTTTCTACAACTATAGTTCAAACTTCAGGATTTTTTCAACTAAAATATAATCACTTTTAGGTTCCCTATAAAAGCAAAGATTTCTATTGATGAGCTTCCGCCCAACACCTCAATACCTTCAGTTTCCACCATTAACTGCGAAACAGCTATAAATGCAAGGTCTGATGTATTACAGTATATATCTTCAAGTAGTGATTCTGATGATTTTTTAGAAGAAACAAATCCGAGAAAAAAAACTAAAAGGTAAATATAACTTTATTTTGGAAGCAAGTAAATATGCTCATTTTTTAAAACGTTTCTATATACTTGGATTGGTCTTTGTAACTATGTCACTATATCTGCAAATTTTGTAATCCATTTTAAAAATAGTTCTATGCTACCTAGGCACCTGAAATTTTCATGACACCAGAAAATATGCCTCTAAAATGTCGATTACAAAATTCTTTTATGACATAGAAATTGAAACAACAAAATAGTTTATAATTTTATATTGGGTCCTATAAATTATGAAAATGTTTTATTATAAAAAGTTCTTTTTTATACAAATGTAATTATGTTGTCCTTTCTCCAGCCGATCAGTCAGTTATAGTTGTTTTCTTTTTAGATCATGTAATCCAAACAATGTTGAAATGACTACGCCTATCCTAGAAATAAGTCATCCTGATGCGCAGCCTTCTACTTCTAGAGGGCCAAAGGTCCCGATAATTCTAAAAGAGCAACGTCAGTCCTCTGTTGATAAAGTCATCGATGAAGTTATAGCTCATTTTTGTCCCATGCAAATTGAAAATGAAAATGAAGAAGAGCTTTTACAAGATGAACTACACTGGTTTCCTCCGAATGGTTCCCATTTAAAAAATTTTAATTTTGATGTAGATCAAGTCGGTACTACAGCACAGATAGCTGAGAGTTTTCTTACAAAGGCACCATATGATTTTTTCAAGATATATCTCAGTGATGAACTTCTGGATTTAATTGTAGTGGAGACCAATAGATATGCTCAACAAACCAAAAACAAACCTATGGCAGTTTTCTCGCGATTACACAGATGGAAAGATACTAACAGGGACGAAATTACTACATTCTTTGGAATTGTAATGTATATGGGTCTAGCAAGGTTTTCAAAAATGACGGATTACTGGTCTAAGAATCCATTATATAGCAATCAGGTATCGTGTAAAATGTCAAGAAACCGATTCGAATTAATTCTCAGAATGCTACATTTCAACGATAATGAAACAGTTGATAAAAATAACCGTTTGGGAAAACTAAGCCCTTTATTAGAAAACTTGACAAATAAATTCAAAGAGGTCTATATTCCGGAAAAATCTGTGTGCATAGATGAAACACTGGTACCCTTCAGAGGGAGATTGTCATTCAGACAATATATAAAAAATAAGAGGTTCAAATTCGGAATAAAACTGTATAAACTCTGTTGTAAAGACGGCTATACCTACGATATCAAAGTATACTGTGGACAAGATAAAAATTCAGATAAACCTGCTACAGTTTCAACTGTTTTATCCCTTATGTCGCCACTTTTAGATCACGGACGCATTTTATATACGGATAATTACTATACTAGTGTCGCATTAGCGCATGAACTACAAAAGCGTAAAACGCATCTTGTCGGTACTTTAAGGAAAAGTAGAAAAAACAATCCAAAGGATGTAGAGACCCAAAAATTAAATAAAGGAGAAATTTACGCAAGAGAAAGTAATACAGGGGTAGTTGTTCTAAAATGGCAGGATAAACGTGATATTCTTTGTCTCAGCACTATTCATACTGACACAACCACTAACTATACACGAAGAGGAACAGACATAGAAAAGCCATCTCTTATAGTTGACTTAATTCGTGTAAGTCATTTATAGATCTATCCGATCAATTGAAATCATATTCTTCCCCTTTGCGTAAAGGGATCAAGTGGTATAGAAAACTTGCATTTGAAATATTACTTGGCTCAGCAGTAGTAAACGCTTTTATAATATACAAAACAGTGACAAAGGCCAAAATATCAATTACGGAGTTTAGAGAGAGTATTGTTCTAAGTATGTTACAATTCCATGCAATTGAGCCGAAGGTGCCGGAAAATGATAACAGAAAGCATATTTTACATGAAGTTGCTTAAACATTATATACAATTTCGTCAAAGTATCTTTCTATTTTAAAAACTCCTATACTTTATACAAAAAAAAATGTGGCAACACTGTGACGCACAAACATATAGTTGTCATGTCCATGCCAAGGTTATGTTCATTGTACTCAAATTAGCCGTCAAAACATACACGTGGTTTGTGTTATTTGTGTACGTTTGATTATTCTTTAGCAAAATGGCACCAAAGTGGAGTGACGAAATGAATTTAAAATTCGTTGAACTTTACAAAGAACACAGGTGTTTGTGGGACCAGCAAGACGACTTGTACAAAGATAGAAATGCTCGCGAAACGGCACTCCTTGCAATTGCAGAAAGCATAAACATCAAAGGATTTGGTGTAGCTGAAGTGAAAGCAAAAATCAAGTCTTTCCGCGGTACATTTAATATTGAGATGAGTAAATTGAAAAAAAGTGTCAAATCTGGATCTGGATCAGCGGATGTGTACGTGCCGACCCTTCAGTGGTTTAACTTAATGAAAGAAGTGATGGTGAATGGTACACTGACAAGGCAGACCCAAGGGACTTCGGTAAGTAAATATACAATTGTTATGCTATTTTTATTTTTATACATAGTAAATAATGTTACAATGTAGACGGAGTTTACATGTAACAAAAAAAAACATAGAAATGAGTTTAAATAAGGGTATATAAATAAATGTACCACTTAAATTATATACAGCTTTGACTTCTTCCAATAACAACTAGTGTGTCATTTTAGCTTGCCATACTACAGCTCCTTCATTAGCAAAGTAGGTTTTGTAAGCATCCCTTTTATCTTTGGCATTTTTGGTTTGTTGATGTGGCCCAACTCTTGCAACGCTTTGCAACCCATTGGTTTCTGTCCTCCAGCTGCCTCCAATGATCGCACCTAAGTCAAAATCCTCATAGTCTACTGATTCCCTAGGCATGTATGTTGCAGTTGATTTGCTCCGCAGAAAATTGTGTAGGGCACAAGCAGCACAAATCACCTTGTCAATTGTTTTAGGTAGAAGCGGAATGGGTTTCTCAAATATTCTAAATCTACTGACTAATATTCCGAATGCATTTTCCACTATGCGCCTTGCCCTTGATAGTCTGTAGTTAAATATTTTCTTTTCTGAATCCAACAATTGTCCTCCATACGGTTTCATGAGGTATTCTTTCAAAGCAAAAGCATCGTCCCCCACAATAACTCCATTTGTAGGCAGCAACCCCCCTTCAAGTGCTTTGAACAGAGAAGATCTTTGAAAAACTGTGCTGTCAGACATGGTACCATTGCTTCCAACGTCAATGAAAGTAAAATGATA